CTTGTAGGCTAAATTTTTAATCATTCGTGTTTATTTATTTTCCGCTGCGTATTTTAATTTCTGATATTTGTGTGAAAAACTGAATCTTTACGTACCTATAATTCTAACAAGACATTGTGTTAATGCTCGGAAAGGGGTTTTACAGTCTCTTTGGTTACTGAAAACAGAAAAGGGCGGGGATGAAAACGGAGAACTGGGTTTTGTGAATCCTGCTGCAAAATCAAGCCTTTTGTCATCACCATTTTTGCTTCAATTTTTCGGTATGCTTTACCTTTTTTTATTTTCACAGCCTTTTTTTTAGTTGGATGGCTGCGTGGGTGCCCTTGCAGCTGTTTCTAGGTGTTTCTATAAGTTGGGTATGCCTAATAGCTTATTTCAAACACGTAAAAGAATTTTTTCTTTCTTTTTTTTTTTTTTCAGTGGGCTCCTCACTTTGTTTTGGTGGGTGTACCTGTAATGTTTTTTCCCCTTGCCACTAAATGCTTTTGAGATTTTTTTGTTTTTTTTTTTTGTTTTTTGTTTTTAAGTTTCATGGCTTATCCAGTTTGCATTCTCTGCTTTTGTGAATGTTAGAGATCACTAGTGTGTGTCTGTTGTTTAAGTTGAGTTTATTTTCAAAATGGCAGTTTTTTCTCAATGTCATGTGTAGGTGGTGGGATGTCGAATCCAGATCCAGCTGTTGGCTCCAGATTTCGCGGCAACAGTCTTGGGATGCCATCTGTATGTCGGTACCGGGTGGCCCACATGCCTTCCAGACACAGTGCAGGCCCCACCGCATACAGCTGTGATGCCAGCAACAACCAAGGCACCTATTTGGAAAGGCTTAGAGGAGGACTGGTGGCGCTTTCTGCTGCCCGCCGTAATTATGCCTATGATGATGATTCATCTGATTCTGTCACGAGCTCGGAAGTCACCACCCAGGGGTAATGACAATATTTTACCCGAGAGAAGGAACTATAATCCAGGGCCTGATACTGATTCGTCGAGTGCCAGCAAGGATCGTACGAGAGGGGTATGTGAATATCTTCTTCTTTAGTGGATAATGTTGTAGCTAATTATTTGTTATCCGTGTGAATGCTGTGTGTGCAATATGGGATTTTCTGTCATGTTTAGGGGCAGCAAATCAAATTCTCCGATGATGATATTCCGAGTGCGCCTCCACTAGCTGGTTCTTATCAGAAGCTGAGTGAAATTTCTGGAAAAAGTGCTACTGATATTACCTCTCGCTTGGCAAAATCTGAAGTCTCTGCTGATGGGATTGAACCTAACAAGTGCAGAAGCTCAAAGTCAGAAGTGGAAGCTTGTGAAATGTCTGCTAGGTACGCCCGTGGATGTTAAATGCAACATCCAACTCCCACCCGCTAGGTTTTAAATATGTAAAGTTAAATAAATATTATTTTACAGGAACAAAGGTTCATCTTCGAATTCTTTGCCTGCTCGGTACCCTACGTTTCATGCGAGGTAAGCTAACTAACTAATTTTGCTGGACCTTATAGTATTTTTGCTTCATAAAAAGTATAGGATTCTCTTTTTTTTTTGTTTTTTTTTCTAAAGTACTAAATCTACCTATTCATATTTTCATTACAGTGGGCTTGGCTATTGGTACTCTGTACTCTCATACGATGCTTGTGGCAGCCTCTGTCTCCACTCCTGGGCTAAGGGTTGTATGGAAGCTCCTCCATTTTTGGAAAGCGAATGTTCTCTGTTGAAGGAAGCATTTGGGTAAAGACATGAATTTACTCTTTTCTATGAAGTTGTTGACCTTGATGTTGAAGGATTCTCTCATTAGATTTTGAAATTAATTGCATTTTACTGCATTCTTTGTATCATATATCAAAAAAATTAAAACATGAATTGGAACTGGAGCTGAAGATAGACTTCGGATAATTATTTTCCTTGTTCATGATGTTGTTTTTGGATATTGAATTAACATTCATATTTCACGATTTACCGGTAACCAGAGTTCTTTTTACTCGTCTCATTTTTCCAATCTACAGTCTCCACTACGTAGACTGGTGTAGAAGCATAGTTGTAGCAAATTTATTGATAAAATTGAACAGGGCTAGTAATGTTCTTTCAGGAGCATCAGTTGTTGCATTGATCATGAACTGTCTCTTGTCAATTTGTAGGGTGAAACATGTGTTATTGCAATCAGAGGAGGAACTCATGAAGAAGGATTCTTCAGATATTGCGGTGCAGGAGCTTATGTGAAGAATAAGAAAACCATTGGGAAAATTAAAGTGCAAGGTTTGTATATTTGTTCTTGGTGGCAATCTATTTCAGGTTTCTGTTTGTTTATAGTGTGTTCTCATTTGTGAAATCCTCATTATTTTTCAGTTTGTAAAGTGAGAATGGGCGTGGAGCCACCCACAGGTTACTCATTCACATCAATAAAATCTTCATCTATGGTAAAGTTGGACTCACTTCAGCTCCGGCTATCAAATATGCTATCTATTGTGACGGCTGAGAGGAAGGCTTTAAAGAGAAATCGTATAATCCCCGTAATGACTGTCAATGGCTCTTTGTTACCGCAAAAGATGGCATACATAATTGTTGGGACTCGTAGATACTTGAAAGAAGTACCTGAGCTTATCAAGATCGGCTTTAGTGCTTGGCGTCGCACTTCAGCATCCTATGAAGTTGTGCAAGGTATGCAAACATGTGTCAAATTTGTGATTTTTCGGTGGCTTTGATTTATTTTTGTTTCTTGTTATGATGATTGAAGAATCTTGATTCTGTGCTGAATGTATGAATGTCTCTCTTTCTAATAATGGTTGGTGACTTAGAATTTCCGGTGCCTATAATTTGGTTGAATGGAGATGTGTGTTTTTATTGTAGAATCATATTCCTGCTTGTTGAGATTAAAGAGCTCACCTGAGGAGGATGCAGCCAGGATCTGGCGAATCTCGCTCATTGTATGTGCAATTTTTGCATCTTTTATTTCTCTCTCTTTTTCTTTTTCTTTCTTTTTCAAAACATTACTTTAGTCTGCAGACATGGTAATCAAAACATTTTTCATAACCCAAGTCTTATCTGGGCTCACGGGGATTCATTACCCAGTTTCACAAACGGTTTCCATTAACCGAAACACATCACGAGACATAATACTCAACATGCATATATCATCAACCATAATACCCAACAATTCGGGTTCCACAAATTTTCCAAAACAACAAATCATAGGTTTTTGGAAAATATCATAATCAAGTCCCAACATAATGGTTCATAAAACCTTATTCATACGGAAGCGATAAACAAATAAAACCTTATTTCTCTCTCTTTCTCTTTTTCCTTTTCTTCCTTTTTCAAAACATTACTTTAGTCTGCAGACATGGTAATTAAATATTATTTTCTGCTCATTTAAAGCTTGCCGGATGGATTTGGAGATGATCTTATCATCGAAGTTCATGATTCGAAAGGAAAATATTGTGGGCAAGCTCTAGTTCAGGTTGCTGATATTGCTAACGAATAGGTACTGTACTGTCTCCGGATCCCAAGTTTTTGACGATTTTTATGATTTTTGCTGAAACATGTCTGGCTATGTTTCTGAACGTTCATTTAGTTTTATTAATTGTCTTAATGCCAGGGGGAGAAGCTTCGCCAGTGTCTTATATAGGGAACCCGATCATGAACAAATTGGAAAAATACAGTTGAGCATAAGCTATTCAACAACTCATGATGAAAATAGTTACAAAGTATTGTTTCATCACGAGATGAACTGATCTGTATAGCATACTAAAAGGATATAAAAGTTGTTTCTGTATAAAAACATTTTCAATGTCATATGTGATAAAATGAAGGTTCAGATTTCTGCTCTAGCCTTTGATTGTGTTGGAGAGGAGACTTTATATAGTATGGTTGCGCATCCTTTGATCGTGATTTTCTATGATTAGCGACTAGTGATCTTGTTTCTAATTGTTGACAATATTAAGAAACTTATGAACGATCATGTAATATGCTCTTTAAATTGACAGGTAAATCTCTATCAATAATACAACCTTGTTTAGTATTCTATATATTGCATGGAAATGATTTGTTTGGTCCAAATATTTGGGCCTTGAATCATAAAAATTAATATAAAGAAGAGCAATATTGCAGTATTAATGGTTATATGAGGTAATTTGTAAGAAACTTTTTTTCTTTCTTCTCTAAAATTAGATTCACTAACTTGTATGTATATATTTCAAAGTGTGCATCTGTGGCAGAGACCATTGCATACGATTGTGTGTTAGAGACTGCAATGAAAGTTCAACAGTTTCAGCAAAGAAACTTGTTGCTACATGGCGCTTGGAAGTGGTTAGTCACCGAACTTGCATCTTATTTTGGAGTTTCAGATGCATATACAAAGCTCAGGTGCACCAAAAAATTCATGCTCTGATGGTTAATGAAAAAAAGAATCATCTCTTTGCAATCCTGCTGTGTTTGGTTCTTCATTTAATTCAAACTTTGATATCTTTTCAGATATCTTTCGTATGTGATGGATGTCGCCACACCAACTGCAGATTGCCTAGAATTGGTGCATGATTTATTACAACCAGTGATAATCAAAGGCAAAAATAAGCAGAGCTTAAGTCACCAGGAGGTTGGTTAATTTATGTCAAACTTCACTTATAATCAAAGGCAAAAATAATGTCTGTTTAATGGAGACATTATTGTAGCCTTTTGAGTTTTTGTGTTTACCGGGTTTAAAAGTTACTTCACTTTTGACTGGATCGAAGGGTAATTTATGATGGAAGGTTAATCGTTTGTGCTTTATGCGGGGTTTGCGGCTTTTGATTCTAGATGATTAGTTCACAACAATGAATATTATTAATTTTTACTCCAACAATTTTCACTTAGGTCCGTCTACTGGGAAGGTGTCTGAACAAATTGAGCAGATACTCACTTTAGTTTTCGAAAACTACAAGTCGTTGGACGAGTCTGCCCCCTCGGGAATTGCTGATGTGTTCCGGCCTGCTACGGGGGAGGCTGCCCCTGCCCGAAGCTTTACAAACTTCTGTATGACATTCTCTCGCCTGAAGTGGAGCTCAAAATGTGCAGATATTTTCAGGTGGGAAAAAAGGCTCTCGGATCAAAATTATTATATCAGATACTTCTTTAAAAATAATGATAATAGAAATAGTAATAATAATATTTGGTATGTTTTAGTGCAGAATGCAACAAGGAAAAGGTCCCGAGGGAACCTTTCCGAAACGGACGAATTCGTTTCTAACAGTAATGAAAATATGTTGTTGGATCCAGTGGCGCTTTCTACAGCGTACAAGAAGATGATACGAAATGGATGAAGACCCTCTGCCTCAATATACGAAATGAGATTTTGACCGACATCGAGATTCATAAGCAGGATCTTCTTCCTAGGTAATTAACTTATATATAAATCTTTTATCAAGTTTGTGTAAATGCGCACAAAATAAGTAGTTTTTTCGCCATGAATTAAATGAGTTAGAATCTTGTGCATAATAAAGGAATCTTTAATGTATATGGATTACAACAACCACAACCACATAGCCTTTTAATCCCAAGCAAGTTGGGGTAGGCTAGAGATAAAACTTAATGTATATGGATTATCCTCTGAAATTGTAAAAGTTCTCTTTAAATACTGACCCTGAAAATTTAGGTTGAACCTTCAAGATTCTATTGATAAGAAATAATTTACTTTATTGCATGCAAGGCGACTGCAGATTGAAGAATTATGTTCTGCACCACACGTCATGCAATTTTTGATAGCCAAACCAGCATGTATTTTAGTAACAACTCTTAAACCCGGCACGGCACTCCTTTGTTTTCTTGTGATCCCTTGTGCAGTTTTATGGATCTCCCGATCCTGTCATCATCTATCTATAGCACAGAACTGTACAGCAGATTACGGGCCTTCCTCGTCTCATGCCCTCCTGCCGGGCCATCACCACCAGTTGTAGAACTCGTGATGGCCACCGCTGATTTTCAGAGGGACCTTTCTTTGTGGGACGTCAGGTAAACTGAAATTGATAAGTATTTTATATTTTATTTTTCTTGGCTAACTGTTATAATTTTTTTGTATTGATCCTCATAATGAAATTGGGTTCGATGCCCGATGCGAAAGGGCTGTTCCATGTGTATATAACACTGTGTATCCAAGATAAGCGTCTCGGTTTATTGGAGTTATGTAAGCCTGACAGGGTATGAATCTCTAGCCATCTATATTTATTTTATATTATTTTCTCTGCTGCACTCGGATATCTATATCTACTAGGAAGATGCACGTGCATAGCACGTGATATTATTTTTTTTTTTTACTTAAATTATTTTTATTATTGTATTTAATTTAATAGTGCAATATAATTTTCTTTTCGTTATTTAACAAAAAAATGTGTATTTAATGATAAAATATAAAATACTATTAACAAAATTCTATGACAAATAAAATTAAAATAAAAAATATTGGTTAGAAAATCTAAAATAATATTAATAATTTTTGTGAAATTTTAAATGCTAAAGAAATCTATGTCGTACTTGATTTTGTTATTTAGTGATATCATCCTTATGCTTAATGATCATTATTATTGTCAAAATAATACTTTTTTAATGTCTTCTTTTTGCGTCTTACTATTTGAATAGTAACTCGAATTTACTATATCTATAATATGTAATTATCATTTGCTTATTGTTGATTGGAAGCTAGCACTATGATTGAATGTTTTGTTCTCTATTATTTTGATATAAGGGATGCAAATTCAGTTATATTTGAATGTGTAATATTCCGTAATATTTAGATACATATTTTGTCACTGTATATAATAATATAAGAGATATAAATATTTGAAAATATCTATAAGGTCGTAAATATTGAAAAAAAATTACTTGAAAATTATTAGGAATAACATTCTTAATTGATTAAGGGTTCCCATCTATTTATATATATTGCTATAACATTGGTTGATTGAAGGTACTTATCTATATATATTGTTCAAAATAAATTATTGTTACATCTCCTAACATTGTCATGCATGCATTATCATTTTCGTTCATGGATTTTCAAGACTATCCAAAAAGTGAAAACTAAATAATTCTATTTTAAATAAATTGCTTGGGACTAAAAGGCTACCCCAAGTTGCTTGGGACTAAAAGGCTATGTTGTAAATAAATTGTAAAATAATGAGTCTTTCATATTTTACTTTTATCTTAACATTATTTTATATATTTGTCAATATTTTTACAAGGTTTATGTTTCCTAGTTTTGAGAAGTGATTGAAAACTTAAATTTATCTATGATTTATAATAAGATTGTCTAATGAAATAAATGTAAAGTAAATCTAATATTTATTTTTATTTAATTAATTTTAACTATAACTATATATTTTCTAACAAGTACATATTTTGAAATACAAGATTTAAAATTGCGTGTTAATTATTTTATTTTATTTTTATAATTACTATATTTTGATTTCTATTACAATTAAAGTAAATAGTAGATTAATATATGTAATACATATTATCATAAATGAACATTTATACTGTACTAACAGATAAACATAAATCATACATGCATATTGTTTTAGTGAGTAATTTAAACAAAATATTTCTATTAAGACTATATATTTTCACTTAACTAATAAATTTTTTTAATAAACATTGACATTTTTTATGTTGAATAACTATTTTTGATTCAATTATTCTTAAACATATGCATGCTCATTAAATTGTACCTCTTTTAATATTTTTAATACTATAACAAAAAACTATCTATAGTAAAACTTGATATTTAAAAATTAGAGATGATACTTTCATTGGTGCATTATATTTTACAGTTATGAAATAAAACTTATTTTACTTACAAAACCTTAAAATAATATTCTCTCTTACATTCAAAAACTACATTTTTCATAAATTTTACTCAAATTTTTTATTTATAATTTATATATTGTTTACATAATCTTAACGTCTTTATTTCAATTAAAGAAATTAAATTATTGAATAGGTAAAAAATAAAATAAAATAATAATAAGATCATAGATAAAAGAAGTAGAATGAAAAAACAATATTGATTGAAAGAATGATTGTAACTATTAATATTTGTAACTCCCTAACAGTTGTAACAAAATCACATATATAACCTTAGAAATTAATTATAGCATATAGAATTTTCGGCAATTCAATCTTTTGAAAAAACAACTCTCCCTTATAAGATAGTTATTTCAAAATTGAACTTCAGTCCATTTTAATTATTATAGGGATTTAAAATCCCATAGCAAAAAAAAAAAAATGAGTTAAATTTATTTTGCTTAATTTCGATTAAACTAAAAAAGAAAGAAGATTGTATATTACATAAAAGTTATACTTTTACTTATAAAAAATTGATTATTATCGTAGAAACTTGTTACACATGATATATACTTCGGTGTGTTTTTACTAAATTTTAAATATTAAAATATATATTAAACTGTAATTAATATTAAAAAAAATAATCTTATATTAGAGTTGATAATAATGATTTATAACTCATTTTCCCACTTTTAATTAAAAGACTAATACATTCTCAACGTTGAAAATAGACTATACTACAATTATTCATCACATCAAATAATCATATATATATATATATATATAGCATTAAATTGGAATTATTAATTTTTACTGAAATGATAGAAGGTTCTAAATTATAGTTTCATTTATTAAAATTTCAAAATTATAAAGTATTTATTACATGTAATTTATTTTATAACTATAAATATATTTATGAGTAGATATTTAAATACATAGTGATGAAAATAAACATTGATGAAGGTAATTTCTTATAATATCACAAAACTAAAATATCCAAAAGAAATAATGAAAATGCAAAAAATCATAAATTATTTTAATACATTAATATTAAGAAATTTAATTAAAAAAATAGCATACCAACATTTTAATACATTAATATTTTAAAAAAATAATTAAAAAAAAGCATATAAACATTTTGTAAATAGCAAAAAACAATGAGAACTATAAGTTAATTGGATAATATATTTATAATAAAATAATACAATAAGAATAAAAAATATTAATACATTACGACGCTGGGAAAAAAACAGTTGAATAGATAAATGTTTGGTTTCAATAAAAGGTCATATCTATGGATGGTTTTTTTTTTTTGGATTAGAAGAATTTGCATTAGAAATTATTGACTTTGCATTAGAAGAATTTTTAATATTTGTACATGCAAAATCTTAGTTATGTAGTTGTGCCAATATATTCATTTAAAAATTTTGGATACCAATCAATTTATTTTAATAGATTAATATTATAAAAAAATTATTAACTATAAAATACACAAGGAATATTATAAGAAAAAATTGAGTACTATGTCATGACCTTCATGATTAAAACATCACAATAATGATTTAAAACGTTTTATTTGAAATTATTTAAAATAATTTTTTATTAAGCATGTGTTTTAATATTTCATTTATTCTAATTAAAATTGAAATTGTTATTTGATAATTTTAATTATTTATATATAAGCAGTAAATGTATTTAGAATAAGACATAATATAACTTTTTTGAAGTAACATAATATAATACTTTTTGGAAGTAACATTATTTTCTATTGAGGGTAGTAGTGACATTTCAGATTTTATTTACATGTGGTTGGATGAGATAGTAATGAGTTTGTATTATTACCTTTATGTCCTTAAATGGTAAATCTATGGAGGGTTATATAGGCATTTCAAATTTTTCAAGGGAGTCATAGATATAGATATAGATCTAATCTTTCCCTATGCATAATTTATAGAGAAATGTTGACATGGTGGCTGCATAAAAAGGCAGTGTTAGATCATTTTTTTTTTTTTTTTTTTGGGTTGACCGATGGAGAAAACTGAAAAATACGTTAATTTTTTAAAATCCACTGCTAATTCCATGACTAAATCTTGAAATTCATATTTCTGAGTAATTTTAACTTGAGCTAATAATAATGTTCCAGGTCAAATCTGCCGGTTTTGCCAGCCAGCATTTGACGACTCCTTTCATTGATGATATCTATGACCGGTTGAAGGAGACTCTATTGGAATATGATGTCATTATCAGCCGGTGGCCCGAATACACTTTCGCTTTGGAAAATGTATACTTCCAAGTTCCTAGTTTCTCCTTGCACATATTTTTTGTTTATTCTTTAAGGATATGCATTAGAGAACTAAAGAATAAAATTGTGATGAATATTAATATGCTCCTACCATTGTTTAATATCATATAGGCCACTTCTGTTGCTCACCTTTTTTTTTTTTCCCTGTGAAAAAGGCCATAGCAGATGTTGAGAAGGCTGTAGTGGAAAGCATGGAGAAACAGTATGCGGAAACTTTGTCTCCTCTGAAAGCAAGCACGATGCCAATGAAATTCGGTCTCAAATATATGCAGAAATTTGCCAAGGGAAATCCATCTCCTTACAATGTCTCCACTGAGGTACAGTTGATGATGAGTTGTGTTCTCTGCGAGACAGTGATTCCTGTTTCCTCTTTTTTTTTCCCTGCAAAGTCATTTAGATTTATTTATATTATTTCAGTTGGGATCGTCTTAAATTCCATGAAAAGGATGCTCGATATTTTGGGCGCGATTGTTTATTAATTCTACAGTAAATATCTTACTCAAAACTCAAATTTAACTCAACTTTAACTCAACTCCACTATCTTCAATATTATCAATATAATTAAATAATATCAACCAATAATTATTACACATCACATCAACTTTAATTCGCTATTCATCTACGCACATAATTTTAACTAACCATCACTTCCAATCATTTTTTCCTACTTTTATATCAAATCAATTTTAATTATTTTAATTTAAATATTATTTTAATATATCCACTAACAACTAACAATTATACTTTTTTAAATATTAACTATAGTTAAAAAAAAAAAACTAGTTTTTTTACAGTTGAATTCATATCCAATCACCCCTTTTGCGTCCCCATATAGAATCGAAGTTGAAGCAGTGGGGCTGTAGCATGCCCTATAC